GGCCGGGGGGGGACGACGTCCGGCTCTCCGTCGCTGCTCTCCTCTCCGCTGCCGGAGGCCGAGTCCGAGGAGCTGCTGCTCATCTGCTCGATGACTTCCACCTCCGCACGCAGCTCTGAACCAGCAGGGGGCACAATCACACACTTTAACATGTTCAAACCCTTATTCCTCATCTGTTTATCCAAGTATAATCATAAGATAAGTTAAGATTCGCTTTCAAATCAAATCAAAGTTTATTTACATAGCCTAATATCACAAAACAAGTTGGATTTAAATTTAATTCAGACATCGTAACAGTATCAGTATCCGCTTAAATGCCGCCATATTTGCCGTCAAAATGTGAGAGTGTGACTGGAGGGGAGTTTTTCTAATTGCTCTAATCCTCTTATTGTACGTGGCTTTGGATAAAAGCCTAAATGTGATGTAATGCAACATGTTACCTAGTATGATATACTCTTTGCCTCCTCACCTCTCTTGATTTCGTCGAGCTGAGGCTCCGGGGACGGGTCGTCTTTAGAGGGGGAGGGGGAGGCTTTGGCCCCGGGCTTTGTGGGGGCTCGAAACTGAGAGGAGGGCTGAGAGGTGGAGCGGACCGACTGCTGCTCGATCCGCGCCTGGATCTTACTGCTGCCCTCCGCCCTGAACACACACACACACACACACACACACACACACACACACACACACACACACACACACACACACTTAGTCCTTCAGGAGTTCTTCACAACCTGTCTGGATCTATAATGCAGGAATATCCTCTCTAACAGATTGTCTGTCGCCCAAAACAAAACATGTTCCCACCAATCTCTCTTGAACAACTATCTCTGGAATCAAACTCCCAGAAATCGGCTACTTTCACTTTGAGCTGAAGACTCTTTTTTTACCGTTACCTTTTTACTAAATCAAATAACTACTCATAAATGTTTCTGCACTGTCACTTGTATTCTATACCTGTCTCATTTCATTGAAGCTTGTTTAGATTATTATGCTCTTGGCTCTCTTATAATTTTTTGTAAATGTATTTAAATGTAATATTATTCCTTACATGTGCTACATAACCCCTGCATTCAGTGTAGTCATAATCAAATGTGTAAAAGTAGGATCAAAAGATATCTAACAAAACGCACAGGCCATCAAATGCTTGGTAATAAAGTTGTGTATAGATTTGTCGGGTAATAACTAAGTCTATGGTTTGTCTTCATTAGGTCTGAGATCAATGCCATCTTTCTCATCCTGTGATGAATGACAGTCGGGAAAGGTGGGAGTTTCTGACCCTAAATTATTTGTTGCTTTGTCTGTCTGACTGTTTTTTGGTTTTTCTTTCTTCTGTAACGCGACCTTGGGTCCCCTTGAAAGTTATTATTATAATTGACTTCTCACCTGGTTTTCTTGACCTGGATGCTGCTGCTCAGCTTCTCCAGCATGAACTCCCCGGTGTCGTGGTTGATGATGAGCACGCAGTCCTTCTGGTACGGACGCTTGTTCCCTTTGAACACCGTCATGGGAGGCGTGGAGCCCTGGAGGAACAGCAGTAATGTGAATATCTGTTTACTTTACCACAGTGCTTTAACAGAAGTAAAGGTGGTGTCGTGGCGTTTGAATCCGTTTCTACATTTTATATCCACATCGGGGGTGTGGGTTATGACGCACTTCTCTTTGCTTCCAAACAAACTTTGCGGAGATCGTTGTAGCGTTGAATCACATCAGATTTATCCTTTGATCCAGGCGGCTAGAAACATGAAGACAAACTTCCTCGTAACTAAAAGTTCTCCGTCTCAAAATAGAATAAAAAGAGCACGGTGCTGTGTCCCATTGTCATGCCATATATAGACATATAGACATGCACGTCATACCCGAATGCGCACATATGACAGCAAACAAGTGAGACTTAAATTAACATCTTTTAAAACGTAGTGTGACTCACAGAAATAAAGAGTTTACTCTAAATCCTTATATTATCAAGCCAAACATTCAAACCATAATGATGAAAGGAAAATGGCTCTTACAGGTGGAGTTGGTCG